GACTGTCCACTCCGATGTCCACCCGTACGTCCACAGGAAGTCTGCGCGTTCATAGTGTCCGCCTATTCGTCAAACTGGTTGCGACTCAACAAACCATTCAACCCATTGCTGGGCGAGACCTACGAGTACGAGCTCCCGGAGCTGAACATAAAGGTGGTGTTCGAGCAGGTGTCCCATCACCCGCCGGTGAGCGCCTGGCACGCCGAGAGCGACCACTTCGTACTCCACGGCACCATTAATCCCAAGTTGAAGTTCTGGGGCAAATCCATTGAGATCGCCCCGGAGGGCACCGTTACGCTCAAACTCAAGTCCCGGCCCGACGTCTACACCTGGAAGTCCGTCAACTGTTGTGTTCATAATATTATTGTCGGAAAGCTGTGGTTCGAAGAGGTATTGGCTTTTGTTTTGGGATTACTTTTGTCTGTAGTGTTCACTCATTTGTTGCTTATTTTGATTTATGATTAGTTTAATTAATTTTTGGTAATCAATGATTACCAATGATTACTAATCATCTAGTTTTTCACTACTGTAGTACATTTTAGTGCGAATATCAGTGAAAATAATTTTTAAAATTTTGAATTAAACTAAATTTAGCTATTAGTGTGGTACGGTAAATACGCTATACAGTAGATATCCAAGGATCAATACCGCAGCATGTAGTTTATAATTGAGTGTTTAATGGAGTTTATTATTGTGTGAAGCATTTGAAAAGTAGTTTTTTTTAAATTGTGTACATTTTTTGGTTTGTGTTTACAGTACGGCTTAATGGAGGTAACGAACCAAACGAATGGTATGCGAACACAATTGAACTTCAAGCCAGCAGGATGGTTTGGCAAGGACCTGCACAGATTTGATGGATTCATTTACTCACAAGAGTAAGTACAGTATATAAGATATTATACACACCCTTCCACAAAAAACTACCTGTGCTCTAACCCCCTATTTGCTTGTTTACGAGTTAGCAATAAGTTTTAATCCTAATTTGTTGTGCGATTGTGTGTGCATTGCATTGGATTTGAAGTTTGGTTTCTGTGTTTGACTTCGTATTGATTTTTTGGGTGAACTTTTTGTTTGTCGCTGTTATTTAGCGAAACCTTTTCATTCACTTTTATTAGTGGATTACGACAGTAAAGCCTGATTTCTATGCAACAAATAGATTCCGTAGTTGTTATATAATTCACGCATACAGTTAGTTATTAATTAATATATTTTTGTGATTTACTTTAGTAATAATAGTGATGAATGCGTCAAAACATATAACTTTTATTATTAGTATTACGTGTGGACTATATATAGAGTACACACAAACACCGGGTCTTAACGTTAATTACAGCGATCGTATCCTCAGTATAACTGATGCTGTGATTGATTTTTGGCATTTAATATATTTTTGGTTATGCTTTCAAACGGCACTCATTAGACCGTAATGTTTGTGACAAACGACTCTTTTTGGCGACTTATATAATCTCCAGGCGCTCTCATACCTATCCATACCTCTCTCACTGTCGCACATAATTCTGTACCAATCAATAACTCATTTTCATATATACCGGTGCTATAAATACATGAGTACTAAACGGGTGCTAAAAACATATAACAATAACGAGAGAGCTATGGTTTGGGCATAAATTAGTTGCCATTCAATACAACGACATTTTCCATTGAAATGATTTGTAATTTACATTCAATTATTAGTATCGTTTGAGTGGAGGTATCGCTACCTATGTCATCACGTTTTGGTTTTGCATTGCATTTGAATTTATAAATATAAAACAATATTTTCTATTCGTTATTGCCCTGCTCAAATCGTAACATATTAATTAATATGTATTATACAGTTTACATAAGAATTATTGCGAAAGAATTAATTCAATAATAATTCTGTTATTATGCACTCGTATTCAGTATATCTATAGAGGTTTTTGTACTATATATAGAAAAAAAATTAAATATTTGTTAAACGAGTGCATAATAAGTATAATTCATTTTTGAGATGACATACAGTGTGTTTGAAAGACTAGTTTATAAATATTTATGTTCAATTTAAGTGATTAAAATATTTTTGAGTTGATATTCATTTGTGTGACATTTTCTCATTTACTAAACGAGTGAATCGATTGCTTACATTCATTTGGTGAGAAATATTTCACATTGAAATTCTGTATTCAATATAAATGAGTTTTTAGTTTTTTCACCAAATCATGTGTTTAATGTCATTATAGTTACATTCATTCAATTGATTTCTAATATATTCTCACATTTATATGAATAGAAACTAATGATCGGAATGAATGATAAGTTAGTATTTGCACTCATATTAGAGAATATAATATACATTGAATTTATTTCATTAAGAATATTCTGTAAGTTTTTTTTAATATTACCTATGTAATATATTTGATAGGTTTTCAACGCTTAATACAAAATATTTACTTTATTATTAATTTTCACGAATATATTTGAGTTTTAAATTATTAATTTAAGCGAAAAATTTTCATGTTTTTAATATGATTTTTATGTAAATCGCTTGAAAATGTCATTAATATACAATGTATTCACAGCAAAAATAAATGCAATAAAATATTGCACACATTTTTATACATAATATTCAAATGGACTTTTCGTGTTCACCAGAGTTTTTCAATATTGAATACTACATTAAAAGCGCTTAAAAAACAAAATTAGATTTTTGTTTAATTATTTTTGACAGAAAAACTTGTCTATAATTTATGGAAATTTAATAAACACTTTAAGTTTGATTTTCTAGTTTATTAATACCATACATAAAGTAATAATATTCTGTTCATATCGTGTTTGCATTTTATGAAACCCTGATTCTTACGACAATTCTGTGCCCTTTAGGGACTAATTATATGCAAATGTTTTATAGCTTTAAAACTATTTTTACAAAAAAAATTTTGCTAACGACTTGTAAATGGATTTCAAAAATTATATTCACATTAAACTAATCATTAAATGTTTGTATTATATCTCAAACAGCAAAGAGAAGTTGCGATTCATATACGGGAAATGGAGCGACTATTTGAAGAGTGCCGGCGCTGATGACTACGACGAGTATATGCGCACCCATTCGCAGCGGTTCCGGGTGCCCGACCGGCCCGCCACCGACAGCTCCCAGCCCTCTACGCCCCGCAAAATGTTCTCAAAACTCAATAGTCTCACGCGTCAGCTCACGGGCGGCGGCGGCGGTAACTCCGTGGACGACACCAACGGACCTCCCGGTGCCGCCGCCGGCAACGGGACCGTCAATCAGTCGACGGCGCCCCCGGAGGCCGGCCTCACGAACGGCGATATTCCCAAAAGCGATTCGTCGCACTCGCTGGACATTCCCAACTCGCGACTGGTCTGGCAGGTGAGGGCCCGACCCGACCACTCGCCACAGTATTATCACTTCACACTGTTCTCCATGTCATTGAACCAATTGACGGACGCCCTGACGGCCCGTTTGCCCCCAACCGACAGCCGCTTCCGGCCGGACGTTCGCAAACTCGAAGAGGGAGATCTCGGTCTGTATTTATAGCATACATGCGCTCATAAGGCGCATATCTGTCCACCAAAGCGATGTTTTAACTGATTTTTGTGGTCTTTATAGAGAGCGCAGCGCTCGAGAAGAATAGGTTAGAAGAGAAACAAAGAGATGTTAGACGACAGCATAAGAAGAAGAGACACCAATGGGAGCCCCTGTATGTCATTTCCATACATATTTTTGTCCAGTTTTAAGGCTTTTGTCACTTTTTTGTCTGGAATAGTGAACTAAATAATGTCTCGCATAATGTGTATCAGAAATTATGATCTGTTATAATGTTTGTGCAATGAATGAGTGAATTGTTTTTTTCCGCTGGAAATCGATAAGCAATTTATAGATTTATTTATCAATTAGTTGTGTTTTGCTTATTAAGTGAATGTCAGACACAATTTGTTTATTTGCAAATTTAGTCCCACATTACAATATACTGGTAGAAGTACTGTACATACCGTAGTTGTAGACATTACGGTATTAGTTATACTGTAAAACATAATTTCTTATTAAAATCATTGACTGCCAGGAAATAACAAATTACTTATTGAATGACTTATTAGATTGCAAAAGCAACATTAGCATAGTATTTGTTAGGATTACCATAATGTGTCATTCAATTAGCGGTTAAACGATTGCACAAACCCTTAGAGAATTTATTTTCACTATTTATAGACACTTATGTGATTGCCTCTAAATTTAGTCATTTGTATAACTGATTATAATTGTGTTGACATTTATTTGTTGTCTCCCACGCGACCCGATTGGACGGACAGTTGGTTTAGAGCCGAACAAAACCCGTACACAAAAGAGGACGACTGGGTATACAAAGGCGACTACTGGCGCCGGGAGTTTGCCAACTGTCCCGACATTTACTGAATATAGCTACTGATTTAGGAATGCCGTTACAAATTGACATTAATTTGTTTGTCAACAAACAAATGGTTACGTTTTGTTGTTAATTGAAATTTTAATTTCTTAATTCATTTGCGCGCCACTCAAACACCCGACTACTACGAGACCCCTATCCGCCGCCCCCACCCTCTCATACCATCGTTTAATAGAGATTTTAATAGAAATTTATTAGTAATTAATTGATTATTAATTATTATGATTGTAACTATTATTATAATGATTATAAGTACTATTTTATACAATTTATTTATATTATATTTTACGATAAGTGATACATAAGTACACAAAATACACATTCAATTGCATTACAAACAAAATACATGTTTAGTTTTTAATTGAAAATACTGTACACATCGGCCCCACATTTTTTTATATCAAAACAATTGTTTAAGTTTTTGCCCCGAGTTTTGCGTTTGGTTTTTAATATTTATGTCTAATGTTTGAGTTGTTTGGCATGATTTTTGTTATGTATATTAATTGCTAGTATAAGACCATTAGAAATATTTAATTGGATTTATGTTTTTGTAACGAAACACTCAATACCCGTACAATCGATGCCGATACCGGACATCCAGTGTTACACCCCTTTCCCCCCAATGCGGGGCTCTATTACTGTGAATACGAAATAAAGTACGAAAAATGTATATCAAATAAAAAACAATTGTTTTTTGTAATTATTTTGTAGATTTTATACGTGAAAATCATATTTTTTCGTTTCGGTATATTCTGTATATGATTGGGAACTCTGTATCAAAGTGTGTATAAAAACAGGCTGTTTATTACGGGCGGGTGTCGGCGCTAACTGATAACCACCGGCGCTCTCCCCTTCGGAAACAGTAATACAAAACATTTTCTGTGAAATTGTTTTTTCTCTTTAATTATATTTAGCGTTAAATGTGTTTTAAAAATGTATATAATTTTCATGAGAAATAATAGCCATTTACGGTATTATATGAATATATAATTTAATGCTATTATAAATAAGTAGAGAATTCTGTGAATACATACAAAGTCTATGAAAAGTAATACGAAAACACGATTCAAACAAACAAACCATACCTTAATTACTAAACAATTACATGATGTAAACGAGATTTCTATATTGTAACTATAATTTAAATGTAAAAATTTATTATTAAAAGTTATAAAAACTTAAGCAAACATTGCATTTACCAAAAGTTATTTAACTCACAAAATAAGTTTTGAGTCCATTATCTGAAAACAATTTAAAATTTTTAAAATGAGTATGGTAAATTAATTGGTATGGTAAATGAGTGCCAAAAATAATCCGGAGCCTATTAGTACAACTGTAGGAATATTCGTATACCCGGGTGCTATAAATAGCTATTATTCTAGTATAGCGCACAATGCCATAGGAATACCATAGGAGACCACACACTATGAATGAAACCTTCACTGCTATCCACAAACTTAAGTCACGCCTTGAATTCAAAATCAGCACTCATTTCATAACCCAATAACTCTCACTACAAACTCCACACTAAAACATTGCAACTATTTGGTACCATTTCATGCGAACACCAATAAACATTCGCACATAAAAGGCACCAAAATCGCGGCCAATCACACCATACGCTCAGTTAAGTGGGGCTCAAAAAAAGCGCATTTATTTACACATATTTTTTAGACACAAAACTCAATTCAAAACAAAAGAAAAAATGTTAAATCAGTTCATAAACAGCAAAACCGACGCCAAAAGTGGTCCAAACTTTTCACTCAAAGCGCTTACCATTGGATACATACTCGCGATCACCGCATGCCTTACCGCCAGTGCCTCGACGGACCGGACGGGCGGTCAGCACCAGCAGCACCTGTACGCGAACGGCGCCGCCTTATACCCGATGTCGCCCGCGATCGCCAGTCCCGACCACTGCTACCGGGCCTCCCGGTGTCGACCGCTCAACACCTCCCAGTGCCTCGACGTGACCCTCACCTACAAACACACGGCCAGCGCGTTCGAGGGGAACGGCATCCTGGGTCCGGACGCCACCATCGCGTGGGGCGACAACGCGCACGACATACACGACTACCTGAGCCGCTGGAAAGGCCTCCGATCGGTGCCCCAGTGCTGGAAAGCCTTACAGTCGGTGCTGTGCGCCATCTTCTTCCCCCGTTGCGACGACAGCACCGGTAGGGTCTCCCTCCCCACGCACGACATGTGTCGGCTCACCCGTCAGCCCTGTCGCCTCCTGGAGCAGCACCACCACTGGCCCCCATGGCTCCGGTGCGATAACGACACCCTATTCCCCCACAAATGCAAGAACGACTACACGGACCTCAAGTTCCAGACGGCGCCGGGAGTCGCGCCGGCGTCCAAGTGCTCGCTACCACTCGTCACCACCGATGACACCAATATCTGGTACCCGGGTATCGAGGGCTGTGCCCTCCAGTGCCAGAATCCCGTGTACAGCGCGGAACAGCACCGGCGTGTGGGGGCGTTCATCAAGTTTGGCGCCTGGATGTCGTTGATCTGCACGGGTGTAGCCGTACTCACGTTCATCATCGACTGGCACTCCAGCAACAGATACCCGGCTGTTATCATCTTCTACCTGAACCTGTGTTTCATGATTGCGGACACGGGTTGGTTGGCGCAGTCGGTGCTCCATAGCGGGCACCGGGAGATCGTGTGCCGGCCCGACAACACGTCGAGGTATGGCGAGCCGGGCAACTCACCCGACAATCTCTACTGTTTGTCCACCTTTTTGTTGGTCTACTACTTCTCGATGGCGGCGTTGGTGTGGTTCGTGAACCTGGCATACGCGTGGGACCTGTCGTTCCAGGCGAACGGCGCCTCGCACCGGGAGTCCGTCAACGCTAAGGTGGCCTACTTTCACCTCACGGCCTGGAGTGTGCCCCTCATGCTCACCATCTCTATACTATTCGTCGGAGAGGTATACCTCTTGTTATGTTCACCACTCGTGTAACCACTACTATACTTGCTGTTCAGACACATACCGATGCTCTCTATTCCACTCGCTTTATCGCTCATTAGTTAGTCATACCGTAGATCGCGATAGAAATTGTGAATTAAAAATATTTTGTTATAATTTACTAATGAATACACTTTTATCTCCCGCTATGTATGGGCGCTGTGTGGACGGGCAGGTGGACGGCGACTCATTGCGCGGCATATGCTTCGTAGGAGTGGTGAAGCCGACGATGCGGGCGGTGTTCGTGTTGGCGCCGACATCCGTGTCCCTCACCATTGGCTGCTATTATATGTTCAAATCGATGCTAACTCTCATTAAAGTCAAACTCATCACGAGATCACAGACTACAGAGAATCGCAATAAAAGCAAAAAGATTGAGCACATGATCATCAGAATAGGTCTGTCCTATCATACGGTCTAACAATTGTTTGTATGGATGACTGACCCGTACCTACCGTTCCCTTCCCCATAGGTTTGTTCGTATTGTTCGCTATGATGGCAGTGATAGTGACATACGTGTCCCACATCTACGAGTTCACGCATTCATCGCAATGGAAGACATCATTAAATGATTACATAATGTAAGTACCGATTCAGGTGTCGGCGCTCTCAATGGTATACTCGCCGTATACCTTAAGCCACACTTTTATAGCAATAAATTGTTTTCAATCTATTTTCCTGTAATTGCCAACAGATGTACACTCAATATGACGGCAGCGCTGTATCCGTACGACTCGAGCGCCGACACGTCCGGCGACATGAGCGCCATATCTATCGGTGCGGACGACTCGGTGCACTCATGCAAACTCATCGACCGGCCGAACCTACTCTACGTCTACGTACAACTGGTGGCCGTATTCGGGGCGGGCGTATGCGCCTCCTCGTGGGTGTGGACGGGGAACTCGTTGCGCGGGTGGCGTCGCTTCTGGCGCCGGCGGCTACGGCCCGACCACACGGACCCCATACGCATGAAAAGGGCCGAAATGATAAGCAAAGTGTTTGGGCGCCGGCATCAGCTCTCGCAGGGCTGTTACTCGCCGTCGTTCCACTCGATGCACTCGGATCCGGTGGCCATGAATCTCAACAGCGCCGTCAGCCAAGACCTGTCGGCCACGTGGGCGGCAGCCCTTCCCAACTTCATGTACAGACGGGGCGCCATCGCCGGCACTCAGGACCCCCAGTCCCACCCGAACCACTACTTGCCTAACTTCGTGGGCACCCGGCACTCGTCCAACAGCGACGTGAGTCAGCAGCGCTCGTACGACTCGTACCGGCGCTCACTGGACAGCCAGTACTCGCTCGAGCAGTTGGAAATGGTGGCGATGGACAGACACCAGCGCCGCAAGACTCGGAAGGAGAGGGAGAAGATGCTGAAGAAGTCGAACCCGTATCACAACCACCGGCGCAGAGGCAGCGATACGTCCGGTAGTGTCATATCGACGGCGCTGGCCGTCCGCGCCTTCCAAAAGGCGGCCAAATCCGAGTGCAAGAGCACCAGTACTCGCGATCTGATGCAATTGGAGGCCAACGCGGCGGCCACAGTCTTACCGCAACTCATAGCCAACCCATTCATGACGCCTCCCATGTGCTCGCCCTCGGCGTTCGCACTGCCGGCGCCCCCGCACTCGACCCTCTCATATATGCCGCCCGCAGTCGTCCCCCAACGGCCCAAAACGAAGCTCACGAACAGTGCGCTCACGAACTTCACGTTCACTCACGGAATGTCCGACCAGTCCTCGCAACTCACGAACCCATTGCTGGAGAAACGCCGGCCCGACAGCTGTCTGCCCACCGGTGGCGGCGGCGGTCATCGCATTCACCACAATCTCAGCACAGCTAACAGCGCGCTCACAGTACAGCAGCCGCTGAACACCACTCCCAACGGTACGGTGCAAACGGCGCCGGCCGTCAACTACGGGCTCACGTATATGAACAGCGGAATGCCGTTTATGCCGAACCCGCAGTCACTCAACTACTTCACGCAACCCATGAACGCCTTTTACGGCAACCTATTAGTCAATAATCAGACGCAACAGTCGTTCCCCAACTTCATGGCGCCGGCGTTCGGACCCTCACCGCTGCCACCGCCTGGCCTACCCTATCAGTACCCGCCGTACCCGCAATACCCGCCCTTTCCCGGGCAACAGTGCGCCACCATTCAAGACATACAGGCGCTGATGAGGGAACGGGAGGAGCACCTGGCGCTGTGTCGACCCCTGGAGAGCGCCAGCGAAAGCGAG